AAGAATTTCTGTTCAGAATTTCCCGTGCAGGATTGCCTGATCCTGCACGGCTGTTGACCAATCAAATTGCGTGTTTCACTGTAGTTATTATATAATCTCACATTCTCGCCAAATTTCGGTTTGAGATAATCGTAGTAAAATGTATACATGTGTAATTTACTCAGTTCTAAAATTGCAGCTCCTACGTAAATAGGTTTGTTTAAAAACGTCTCGGTCTTTTTCATGTGGGATGCAACCAGATCTTCCGAAAAGATCGTCGCACTCTCGAAATTTTGTTTTCTCGCCAACTTGTTCCATTGTTTTTCATCGTTGACGAGTCGAATGTCCGTACGGTTTCTTACATTCTCCATCGTCTTCCCAAAGACAGCATTACACATAAGTTTGTAAAAATCTTTCTCGAAATCTTTCTTGTTCATCGTGGCTTCTTTACGAAGTTCAATGTTCGTATGAATATATTCCGACATCCATGGTTTTTCCGAAAACATGAGTCCCTCATAAATTTTCGTTAATTTCATCCCGTGATCCAGATAAAATTTTAAATTCTTTGCGTGGACGACATATTCCTTTTTGTCTCCTAAATTCGGTACTAATTTCCACGTGCCGCTTCCCGTCATTATCCTTTCGGGTGCAAGCGGATAGTCGCTGTGAAAGTCGTGAAGTTCTTTCGGATATTCTAAATCCACTTTTAGGAAACAACTTTTTCCCTCCGAAAGTCGGTCCCATTTTCCGGTTCCAACTTCCATTCGAAATCTCCGTAAGGTAAGGGTTGACTCATGACGTGTGCGTACAAACCATTCGCATCCAGATACGGAATGAATACGGATGGAACGTTGGTTTTTGGGTTGTGAAGACTGATTACCCATCTCGTAAGATTTTTACTCACGTACGTCATAATTTTATCGTCCTCTTCCTGACTATAATTCCATAGAAGTTTACAGAGTCTGTTTTCAAACTCCAAAACTTTTCCGTCGATATCTGTCGGATCGTTCCGAATCTGTAAATCTAATTCTTTCAGTAATTCAATAACACCTTTCGGAATATCCGAAATACCAACGTACTTATTATCGGCGACTCCGTATCGCATCACTGCCGTACTCACACCGCCGCAAATTCCCCCTTCGATGTGTTTATACATTATCTCGTCGGTAATTAGTTGTAAGACTATCCTAGACATTTTCAAACACGCGTCCCACGATAATCCCGGGGATGTAAAATACCACGGAGGATCCAAACCGTACGTCTTCCTACTCTGTTTCCGAAAACTTTCGATCACGTCCGATAATATTAACATATCCGTTACCAAATACAAATTGTGATAATCCAACATACTTTTCATCCCGAAGACCTTCCATACTTTTTTCGCACGTTCGTAATTTTCGTCACTAATATCTTCTCCCGTTAATCCGCTGTAAAAATTCTCTTTGGGAGGAAGACGTCTTTCGTTAAACTTATCGTGACCATCCATCCATTCGTAAGGATACACCCCTTTCTGTTTCAGTAGATCCCGCTGTTCTTTCGTGTATCCCATTTCATCACAGTACCGATCCAAACTTATAAAGTCGGTTTCCTTATTCAATCCGTCCGCAAGCTTATCCAACGATGACGACATTAATTTAAATGAATCTAAAAACGGAATTTCGACGGTCTTGTTGTATTCTTTTCCGGTTTCTTCATCCGTAAACGGTCCTACGGAAATCATCTTGGAAAGACATTTAAATCTACCAGGTATCCTCGCAAGCGCACGAATGATCAGATGTGCATCGTATCCTTCGAGATTATGAAAATATACCGGAACGAACGACGGAACCTGCATTTTTAAATTACATATATCACAAGCGGCACCCCGGAATTTTCACGTAAAATGACAGTGATCTCTTACCTTATAATTTTCTTCGGTAAATTTACAGTTACATACATAACAGCGAGTCTTTGCCACGTGACTTTTCATCTGATTATGAGACATCTCTTCCATGGGAACGGGATCGTGCGTCTTCCGGAAAAATTCACGTACCTTTCCAACAACATCATTCACAAACCTATCGGATATACATTGTAATTCGTGAACCGAGGTACGACGGATCGTCTCCGACTTCATGATATCTTCGTTGGTACATACCGTATGAAAACAATAAGAATTCATAATATGTTTGTGTAACTCTTTCGTTCCGGAAGCTTTGGGATTATTATCCTCTTCGATCCTTTCGATATCTTCCCTTTTCTTTTTCAGAAAAGATTCCGTATCGCCGCTGATCACGTACGGATGTATCTACATCCTTCTTTCCCCTTCGAATTTACAGACAGAACCTTCCTCCGGATATTTGTCCTTGTGATGTTCTTCGTTCAAACACCATTCCAAATGTTTTTTCAAAAGATCCTTTCTTCCAAATCCGTTCAGACATGCGTCACAAAAATATTTCGCACGCGTGTTTTTTGTCATCTGAGATCGGATAAGTCTCGATAAATTCTTGATGACATAATAATGATCACCCCAAAGAAAATGACGTATCGTACGCGTTCCTCCCGAAGAAAAACACTTACTAATTTTTAGCGTATGGAATCCATCGTCTTCATCCCACGAAAAGACGTTCACGTTCACACCGTTGTTTCTCTCGAAATTTTCGATAGATTTTCCATCGACCGGTGTCGGGAATTCAACCCCTTTCCAATATAATTCGTCGGCCTGCTCACGAAGTTTTTTTGTAATCCTTTCCGAATTCTTACTCACAGGATTTAACGATCGGGTCGCAGCCCATTTAAAACATTGATCGACCGTATTTTTCATGTTGATCAATGCATATTTGCCACTTATAAATTTCGGAAGGGGAATACTAGAACCTTTCCCTTTCACAGGAAAAAATTTTCCGACATGAATATCTAAACGTTGGACTCGTCTCAAAAGCCACTGACTTCCACGTTTCTGATATTGTGAAAATTGTTCCAAAACCTTATCTTTCATCTTTTCCCAAATATCGTCTGTCATACTATCCACAGCGTGAAGTTTGAAATTTCCCGTCGCAAACGATGCTTCTTTTTCTATTGACTTCCCATTTTCTTCTTTTCCCATCAGACAAATTAATTCTAACCCTACATTCCTAGATTCCTTACCACGTAATCCATCCAAAAGTTCCTGTACTTTCAGATGAACGGCTTCCAAAAATGGAACGGGATTGTAGGCTACTGTCAGTGTAATCGTATACCTACTAACCATTCCACGCAATGCAGTTTCCTGAAGAACCGGGGCTAAATCTAAAAGTCTGGCCGCTAATTCCTTCTTTTTCGCACGTCTTGTTCTTGCCAACTCATCCCGACGAAGTCTTTGGTTACGTTGATGAACCGTCTCGTTCAGATCTCTCCGATCTATCTTTTCTTTGCGAACACGTCTTTTTTCTTCCAGAACACTTCTTTTTTTCCGCAGCTTTTTCTCTCCTCACCACACCGCGACGTCTTGCCTCTTCTCTCGCAATACTATTTTTACGACGAGTCTCCTCTCTCGCAATACTCTTCTCCCACCTCTTCCGCCAATCTTTTTTTAATATTTCGAATATTGAATTCACGACGCTTTTTACGCTCCGATACAAGTTTCTTAATTTCGCTGCGAAACTTAGTTTTCGGGTTAGACATTTCTATTTTATCATACCTATCTATCCCTATAAGGTGTTAATGGAAAAAATTCCCATACTCAGAATGAGAATGGGAAAAAATAGAGATGAGTAGTGAAACCCGAAGAAATTCCGCGCTGATCGGAGATATATTTTTTATAGTATTTTATATTTACATAAGGTGTTGATGAAAAAAAATTTTTTACGGAAATTCCATGAAGGTCTCCCTTTCCGGCCATATCGTGAACGGTTTTGTCGTTAATTTTAAGGTAAAATACCACCGACTCATTGCTAACCAATGTCGACTGATGCGGTGATCTCATTCAAACGGTTTCGGATTCAAATCTTGATTTAATATTGCATTGCCCACAACAATTTTCTTCAAAACCGTCTTACTCATAACTGTTACAAAATCTAATCCCAACCGACTTAATTCTCTTTTCATTTCTTTTAACGTCATCACTTCGATCTCAGAAACAGGTCGCGGAGGTTCCGCAATCTTTTTCCTGTACATTTGTAAAAGTTCGGATCTCTTAGGATTACCGTAAAATTATGCTGAACTTTTCTAAATATTAATTTTAGCTGTTTTACCGTTATCGGTTTGGGTTTCACCTCTTTTCTAATAACCTCTCTCACCTCAACTATTGCCTCCTCTAATTTCAACATTATTCTATCCCTTGACTCGGCATATTTCCTTTGTCTTTTCACTGCTTCCTCAGGTCTACCCCTGCTGATGTCATCTACGTATCCTATACAGGGCCATCCACACTCAATTACATCCGCCTCGCGGTACTCCCTCCCCAAACCACGCTCGTTCCGCTCACGACGCTTCTTACGCTCCGATGCAAGACTCTTAATTTCTTTACGGAAACTTCCTTTTGAATTTGACATCTCTATTTATCATACGTATAATTTCTCTTTAAATACTTGACGAGGCCGATTTGTTCGCGAAAATGTTTTTGTAAATTTCCATAGGGAAATTTTTCATGAATTTTCACATCAAGTTTTTCCACGAAAATTTTTATGAAATTTTTCATGAAGTTTATTTTTTTTACGGAAAAAAGTTTTATGGAAAATTCCTTGGGGACGTTGGGAACGTTGAGGATGTTAAGGACGTTAGGGACGTTGGGGACGTTCGGGACGTTGAGGATGTTGAGGACGTTGGGGATGTTGAGGACGTTGGGGACGTTGGGGACGTTGAGGACGAAAAAAGGTGAAATGTGAAAATGAGCTCGAACATACATATGGTCCCTACTGGCAATGATTTCACTTTAGACGTGTGGAATATGACACTAGTCTAAGTACCTTAAATGAAGTGGTTAATTCTGCCGACGGTGCACAACACCAGCTGAAATGTTCCTGTAATTTTGTCTCCCTATTGTAATAAATAAATTAATCACTTTTCCAAAAACGCTCTTTTCAACTTACAATCGCTTTTTAGATCAAAAATTCAAAATTTATACGGGGCTGCAAATTTCCAAAGGGGAGGGGCAACATTCCAAGAGTGTTCGCCCGGCTGGGTGGCGACATTCCTTGGACTATCGCCCCTTTTGAGGGGTGGGGGGATCTTCCGAGGGGCCAAATTCCTGTGACACTTGCAAATTTTTTGCGCAAAGCGATTTTTTGTCTTAGTCCAATGGATCTTAACGATTATTCTCTTTTACCCAATGGCGTCGTTTTCATGTCAAATGCTGTACTCATGTTTTGTGCTTAGTAGGGTTGAGAACAGGGACGCCGGAACTGGGGGGCAGGTGAGGCGGCTGCCCCCCTTGCCTTTTGCTAGGTTGGCAGGGGGAGAAGAAATGCCCTTTTAGTTGTAAAATATTACGTGATAAATCACATTTCCAACGATGGTTTTTGTAGGAAAATGATGAGATTCAGGTAATTTATAGTTAATATTTATAAAAATTTTGGAAAATTTTTGGAATTTAGAATAATATTTTGAAGAAATGGCTAAAAGTTGAGATATGCGGAAAAATTTTTGACTTCACGGAAAATTTTGGTATGTCCGGAAAAAAAATTGAAAAAAATTTTCCGGTAGATTTTGAACTTTTGCTCTATAAAGGTGCCCTTGGTGTGCATCCGCCCCCCCTTTGCCTTATTATCGTTCCGGCGTCCCTGGTTGAGAATTACTTTGTTATTGTGTCTAAGAACAGCAAGAAACAAATTCGTCTAGGAAAACATGGGAATGTAATCTTTATCTGCCTTAAAGCGGTTTTCCAGTCCTCGCACGAAGCTCCTTGCAACTCGCTGCGAGTGGCTGCATCTAATTAAAATGAACTGTTTATAGCATTGTGATTGGATGAAAGTGCTCATGCATCACTCGCAGCGAGCTGCGAGAAACTTTGTGCGAGGACCGGAAATCCGCCTTAAGACATGCTAAAATAAGTTTAACATGGAAACGAGGTCATTGGGAAACCAAGAACAAATGAAAAATTTGCTTTGCGCAGAACAATCCGCCATTACCGCAAGTGAAAAACTGGCATTAGTATTTACAGTAGTGGGATTTTCAAAACAATGTGAAGACAATAAAACACGGTTGAGTTAAGTCTGGTTTCCATTTGGTCGTAACGTTAGTACAGATTGAGTCACAATCTTTGTCATCAGCCGAAATACAACATTTTAGAACTGAAAATATGGGGAGTGATTATAACTAGAGAATACTTATGATTTATATGTTGTTTACACGTATACACTATTATAAACTGGCTGTTGAGAATAATAGTGACTCTATATTTATGATCATTACGACTATTTTGATCGACATCAGGCTTTAGCTGCCAAACGAGAGTAATTATAAACTTAATTTAATTAGATGCATTACATCATTTCATATTCTTAACACACAGTTTATTGTTTCCTCCATAATACAAACTAAATGCTTGATGTGGTCAGATATTTTTGCGCACGACAGATGCAAGGGGCTTCGGTGGCGAAGTGGTTAGCGCACTTGCCTTTCACCTCTAAGGCCGCAGGTTCGAATCTCGATCAGGACTTCTCATTGCGACTGGAACCCAGTCCTAATGTGAAAAGAGTAAGTCAACGCTCTGCCGAAAGTCGTGGGTTTTCTCCGGGCACTCCGTGTTTC